AAGAAGAAGAAGAAGAAGAAGAAGAAGAAGAAGAAGAAGAAGAAGAATTGACTCATTTCCTGGCTGCTCTGAGGTGCTCCCTTACTACAACAATGAAATGGATGCATGTTGGAGGAGGATGCTTTGAGGGCAGCTCTACAAGGGCTGCCTGCCTGCCTGGGTGTTCAGCCTCGCCCAGGGGATGCTATTCTGGTCAAGCCCCGCTCTTTATTTTATAGGAGATACTGGAATCAGGTTAAACATACATGGTTTGTGAGGTGTTCTGTTTCCTGTTGCTGAGTTAGACAGATGAGGCAGGAGGATTGATTGAGCATTAGGGCCAGGCTGCCAGACTTTGATATACAGGGTAGGGAGGAGGTAAGGGTTCACTTAATTGCTATAAATATTAGGTTAACTTAAGGGCCAGTGGTCTAGATCTGATCTTACCAATTAAAAAGAGAAAGAAAGCCCTTCTCTCAGCCTAAAGGGCTAGTGCAGGTAGATACTTGCCACCCAGAAAAGTAACCAATGGACAGCTCTCCCAGAGGCCCTCCACTCTGAACATATTTAGTGCCAGCACTGATCATTGGCTTGATCCAGGACAACTGTCCTCCAGGTGATCTGTCGGTCGCTTCCTCTAGTCCCAAGAGTGTTGCTCACAGCACTCCGCATTGGGGAAGATTATGGTGCAGACCAGAAAGGAATGAAGTGGCTTTGGAGAGACAGCCTTCAGCTCTGTAGCTTGTGGAGGAAATCTGGCCAGTGATTTTCTGGAGGTTACCAGTTTCCCAAGCTGCAGTTGGCACTTGAGCCAGAGTAGATCATTTCCCAGTAAATCTTTGCTTTTTTTTTTTTTTTTTTTTTTTGGAGACAGTGCCTCACTATGTGTCCCTGGTTATCCTGAAACTTTCTATGTAGACCAGGCTGGCCTTCAGGTCTGGCCTCACAGAGATCCCAACTATCTCTGCCTCCCAAGAACCGGGATTAAAAACATGTGCCACCACACCCAGCTGCTTTTTTCCTTCCTTCCTTCCTTTCATTTTTCTTCTTTTTTTTAGTTTTATTTTTATTATTTTGGGGTGTGTGTGTTTGTGTGTGTGTGTGTGTGTGTGTGTGTGAGAGAGAGAGAGAGAGAGAGAGAGAGAGAGAGAATGAAGATGTGCATGATATTGTAAGGGTGCCCTCTGAGATCAGAGAAATGAGATCCCCTTGGAGCTTGAGTTATAGGTTGTAATGAGCTAAAGTTGAGACCATGTCTCAAGAAATAAGAGGAACTATTACTCATATAGTGCATGTACACATGCACATACACACACACACACACACACGTGTGTGCGCAGAAGTTATTTCTAGTTTGTCTTCAAACTCTTGCTTCCTAACCCTCTTTTCAGCACTTTTTACTGCTTTTAAAGACAAGGCAACTGACCAAAATAATGAAGGAAGATAGGTGTGTGTGTGTGTGTGTGTGTGTGTGTGATTACCACGGAGTCTCATGTTTACTGAGCTAACAAGGAATAGGTGGCTATTTTGTTTTTGTTTTCCCATATTCTGAAACCTGAAGTAGACCATTTGTTCTTACCTGTATCATTTTGCTTGTTGCCCATTTCCCTGGGCAGCCTATTTTCTCACAGAATCGACCCTTTCTTTCTATCTTTCAGCTTGATCTTACCTGCTCTGCTTAGAGATCTAAAGAGCTTGATGGAGACCCAGTCTCTGGAGTCAAAAGACACAGGTTTCGTTGTGATTAACACAGAGTGGTTGCTTTGGGGAATCTCAGTGCAGAGGGAATTCCTGGCTTGTTGAGGCAGGCAGAACATTGTAATCCCTGTAATTTCTTCTCTAGAGAACTGAGGACTGTTCGTCAAAACAATCACATTGTGAGCAGCTTGATGGTTGACTGTGTGTGTGTGTGTGTGTGTGTGTGTGTGTGTGTGTGTGTGTGTGTGTTTTAAGTAATCTTGCTCTTTTTCATTCCCTTTGGGATAACCATTTGCAGACACATTTCCCAGTCCTAAGTCACAGGGGAGTATTCCCCAATGCCCTAATAGTTGAAGCTACAGAAATGTTGCTGTAAATATGACCTGTTTGTTCCTGTTGACACAGAATCAACTATGTGCTTCTGTCTATCTCATTTCCTTCTGACCATAGTCTTTGTGTTGTGGTGTTCTGTCAGGGTTGCAGGAGAGCAGTGGCTCGGATGAGAGCCTTGGTCTCTACACAAGTACTGTAGCACTTGAAGAAGCGCTGCTAAGTGCTGTCTCAGTAGATTCACCTTGCCTGTGAGCAGTTCCTGCTGAAAGCTCCTCGGCTAGGGGCTTAGTTCACCATGCAAGAGTTTCCCTTCATTAGCAGCACTCATGTCCAAGTCACATGAGAAAACCAATCCCCGAGAAGCAGCTTGCTTCTATGGAGTTTGAGGAACCCATGTCAGTGAGCCACCCTCTGAAGGGTGATTCTACATAATTTTTCCAGTTTTGTCATCTCCTGTATTAAATGTGTTATGATGAAGGAGACTGGCCTTGTTTCCTTCACTGGTGTTTATATCAGAACTGGGATTTAGTATTCTCTAGGTGTTGTTGTCCAGAATGACCTTATAAATAATCACACGTCAGCCTAGAGTTGTATGTGAGAGGGAATCTCAGAAGCTCCGTGCTTAAGAGAGCGTAGCACTCTTTTTTTGTTTTGTTTTTGTTTTTCCAAGACAGGGTTTCTCTGTGTAGACCAGGCTGGTCTTGAGTTTACAGACACCTGTCTGCCTCTACCTTCCAAGTGCTGGGATTAAAGGTGTGTGCCACCACTGCCTGGCAAGTGTTTCACTCTTTCAGAGGGCCCAAGTTTGGTTACCTGCCCCAGTGTTGAGTGGCTCACCACCAACGATAACTCCAAGGGATTCTGATACCCTCTTCTGGACTCCTCAGGCACCTACACTCATGTGGCACTGGTGCATGTTCGCATGCACACACACATACACACATGGACATCTTTAAAAAACACAACATGCACCTGCCATGGCTGGGAGTGTGGGGCACTGTTGGAGAAACTTCACTAATGGCAGCTTAGCTTAGGAGCCTACCCAGGATCTGTCTGCCTTTTGCAGTTAGGTAGCTGTGTGCAGCTGGAGAGATAGGATTTTAAAGTTCCACAATTTGAGTTTATTTACCAAACCTATCTTCCTTGGACTTTTGCTCAGAATAAAACTGTTATATGAAATTAAAGATTAAAAACTGAGTGATTATTTTACAATAAAGGAAAGCTTTGCCTCTCTGTGGTGCTGAGGATTGAGCCCAGGGCACAGGCATGTGGAACTTACATTGTGCAGCTGAACTCCATCCCAGCCCTCCAGCTCTATTTTTATATGGTTGTAACTGTGGCAAAGATAGAAGCATGCTAATTTTAAAAAATGAAAATTATTACTTAAAATTCTACTTAGAAAAACAATTAATTAGAGCAGAACAAAGAATGATTTGTTAGGAAAGGGGAGAAAGAACTCCTGGGAGTGGGAGGAGCTCCTAGAAAGGAGTGCTCACAGTGGACACCTTTAGATAATGAGAGGTCGGCAGAATTGGCTTATGCTGCGTGCTTAGTTTTTATTTCTCCACTTTGGGAAACCGGTGTATGGAAGACTTTATTTTTATTTTATGTTCATTGGTGTTTTTGCCTGAATGTATGTTCTTATGAGGGTATTAGATCCCCTGGAACTGGAATCACATAGTTGTGAGCTGCCATGTGGGTGCCAGAAGTTGAACCCAGGTCCTCTGGAAGAGCAGCCAGTGTTTTTAACCACTAAGCCATCGCTCTAGCCCCAATGCTATGCTTTTTAAAAACTTCTAAGATCTAGGTCTTTCTTCTCTCCCTCTCTCTCTCTCTCTCTCTCTCTCTCTCTCTCTCTCTCTCTTTCTAAGATTTATTTATTTATTATGTATACAGTGTTCTGTCTGCAAGCCAGAAGGAGGCACCAGATCTCAGAGATGGTTGTGAGCCACCATGTAGTTGCTGGGGATTGAACCTGGGTCCTCTGAAAGAGCAGACAGTACTCTTAACAGCTGGACCTTCTCTCCAACCCCAAGGTCTAGATCTTATAAGTGGCTCTTGCCTGTAGTTTCTGGCACTCAAGAAGTCTGACCAGAAAGAGGAGGGTTGCTTCACTTTCAAGGGCAACCTCAGGTACAGGGAGACCTTGTCTCAACCAAACACAAGTTTAAAGCCAGAAGTAGTTTGTAGTTGGTCATTTCAACTCAAGACATAGTGAGGACTTCCTGTGCTCTGTAGTCTCTTCTCAGACTTTTGTTCAGCTGTTCTGATATGTAGACATTATCTTTATCTAATAATAGTTGTAGTTGGATTTGGGGTCAAAGGAAACACTTTGAGCTAGCTGTGTGCTCAGAGAATATTACTACTGGAGACATAAGATGATTACAGTGAATTAAAGGCAGCTTCTAAATTCCATGGCAACTCTTCAGGTGGCATTAAAGACCATTTTCGCTATAACACAGCCTACCTTCTCAGCTTTTCTCTGCTGATAGATATTAGGTACAGACTGGATACATAATAGCATAATAGTCCCTTGAACTCAGTCAATCATGATTGTCATTTGTTATCTAAAGTAAGATACAGCCCACAGGTGAGCTGTTTGGTCAGGATTCTCAGGATTCCTAAGATAGAAGTACTTTGAGCACACCCCTCTGCAACCCCTTACTCTTTACTCTCACCCACCACTATGGTGTCAGATCTCATCCACCCAGTGCCTAACTTTATGCAGACACATCCACACAGATACCTGCTGACCTGGGGCTCAGCACACATCCCAGGTGAAATGAGAATCTTACACTGGCATCTCCATATTCTTCTAGCTGTGCACTGGCCTACATAGCAAGTTTTAGGGCAGCCGGGACTATATAGAGAGATCCTGTCTCAAACAAACAAAATCCCAGAAACCTGTTGATACGAGGTTTTCCCATGAAGTCTTGACCCAGGGCAAAGTGCTCTTTCTGTTGAATTAGAGGCATTCCTGTTAAGTACTGAGGAGAACTGGAGGACAGAAGCGCAAGTCTGTTAAGGATGCATTATGGATGCCATTCTAAGTGTTCTCGTCTTGGTTACTGTTGAAAAAAAAGGCAGATAGAATATTCCTGAACTGACACATACTACTGTGCCTTGGTGTGGTTGTGGTCCCAAAGAGACAGCAGAATCCGAAAACTTTTCTATCTCTCTAAAGGAGACGATGTTCACCAATATCTTGTCAGAAGCCCTTAAACAAAGAAGGTAAGAGGCCCAGGACCAGTGCACCCAAGCTCTACTGTGTTATTCCTCCACGCACGTGTCCTGTAACACAGATGCTGATGTATTGCTCTGAAGAAACAACACACATAGAAAAATAGGAGGCTGCAGAAGATGCTAAACTTTTGATCAAGAGAATGAAGGAAGTCAAAGGAAATACCAAGAACAGATTACCAAGAGATGGAAGCTATCCTTCCTGAGAGCTTCCAGTCTGGTCCAGAATAAGTCTTTGAGTCACAAGTAAATGATCAGGCCTTGGGGGGAAACAGTGAAGATAGAGACCCATCAAGATGGCTCAGAAGGCAAAGGTATGTACCACCGTGAATAATGACATGATCCCTGGGACACATGTTGGGGAAGGGAAACTCAGACTCCCACATCTTATCGTTTGACTGACACACATATACTTTGGCAAGCCCATGTCCTCCTCCCCATTCAAAATTAGTAAAATTTGAGCAATATAATAGTTAATTTTATTTAATATATTTAATTAACACATTAGACTTAAAAAATTTCTGTGTGCTTTGTAGCAAATCCCTAAGGCTGCTGTACAGTGTTCTTGTAATCCAGACTGTTATATTTCATAGCGAGCAGATGTCTGCACACTCGGTAGTCACATGGAGGATCAACTCCCTGTGAAACAGGTCCCTTCCCATGTCCTTCTCTGTCTGTGAAAATTAGAGGATCCTCTAGAGTCAACTGGATGTCACTTTTAAAGAAGGCCTATAAACACTCCCCATTCATGTTAGGACCCCTGTCATGATTTCTAGTGCAGGTTCACTGGGCTGTCATACACTGACTGCGGCTGCTGCTTTTTGTATTACTGTGCTGAAATTTCTAGCGATCTTCAGTAATTATTCCAGGTCACGTTTCAGCAGTTTTGGGGTTTTGCCTTTTATATATACATTTCTAAAATAGCGACTTTATCTCAGGTATGGTTCACCTCTTTGTGGTCTGAAGTTTCAAATACACATGTGGTACAGGTCATTCTGGCCCTGCACCCACCTCTTCCCCTTCTAGATTTGAGTGAATTTCAGGTGCAAACTAAGCCCCCCTGCCCCATGTTTTATTGGAAATTTGAAGCGCTGTTTGAGTTTCTTTTTTCCCTCAAGAAATTGAGCCTGTGACATTTTGCCTGGGATACTTGTCTGTGAAAGGTGAACAGGTGCCTAGGAGATTGTGCTGCTCCAGGAGAGGCCTGCCTGCTATGGAAGGGCTGTCCAGTCACTCAGCCCTCTGGTTTGTATTTTCAGCTAATTGTGGTTGTTGGGCCAGAGACTGGTTAAGAAAAATTCTTTCCCTGAGCAGGCAGGAGAGAATGCATGATTCATCATCAGATGGTGTGCCTGGGACTGTAATCTCGGATTCTGTGTTTTAGCATAAATTGTTACATTTAAACCCTGTGAAGCAAGATTTCCTCAGAAGTATTCCAGTAAGCACTCTTCCTTTCTCTGCCCTTCTCAATGCATGCCTGCTTGAAGATCAAAGTAAAATGTGCCATTGGCTCCTGTGAGGAGTGTCTTTTGTGGCTCCAGCTGCTAAGTTCATGGATTCTCACTGGGGTGGCAGCTCATGCTGAACCAGACTTCCGTGCAGCAGGCACAAGGGCAGCTTTTCTTTAGCTTTATTACTGCTGCCATTATTTTACTTAATCTTGATGATGTGGAAATCTTCCGGTATATCAAGGTAGAGGTGAGTGCAATTCTCATTCAACTTCAACAATAATTCATGACCAGGCTTGACTTCGCTCTCCTCCATTGCTTGTACCTCCAACCCCAGTTATTTTGAAACAGATGCCAGGCTTCATAGCATACTATCAGCTGGTTTGGAGTTGCTCCAAAGCAAAGTGTGGCTTGCTGGTGGTCATATATGTGGAGGAGTTGCTGCTGTGGTCTTCTTTCTGCCTCCTTTTACTTTCTTGGATGTGTTTTGTCTCTGTTGACAACCACTGCTACCAGAAAGTTCCTGTATCTATCAGTTTTGTCCAAGTATGTTCTTTAAAGATGCCTGTGAAAGTTAAATGTACAAAAATGTAAATGTTGTATTGGGAAGTGGGGGACTGTGTTTCATACTCAGAAGGTGTTGGATTTGGGCCAGGGATGTAGCTAGATGGTAGAGTACTTGAGCCTTACAATATAAATAAATAATTAAATATGAAAGAAATAAAAAAGCCTACCCATTTCTTCGTGTGTGTGTGTGTGTGTGTGTGTGTGTGTGTGTGTGTGTGTGTGCCTAGCCCAGACAGACCTCAAGCTCACTATCCAAGCAAAGTTGGCCTTGAACTCTTGGTTTCTCACTTCTCAAGTGTTGGGTTTGTGGGTATGTGCTATTGCTATCATGCTTGACTTTTTTAAAATGTTTATTTATTAGTTCATTTGTTTATTTGTGTGTGTTTTGGAAATGTGTATGCCACAGCATGTAACGCGTGAAGGGCAAAGGATAACTTGCAACAGTTTTCTCTCCTTACCTGTCAGTCTCTGGGTTCAAATTCTGCCCAGCCATTATCAGCTCAGCCATCTTGTTTGCCCCTCCCCCTTAAATTTAAAAATAAAATCTTGGGAACTAGAGAGATGACTCTGTTGATTGTTGATGAAGTACCCACTGTGTAAGCATGAAGACCTGCATTTGATTGGCAGCACCCACATAAAATCTAATATAGTGTGCACTATAATCCAGTACTCCAGTGCTGGGAGCAGGTGCTAGAAGGATTCTTTGGGCTTTTCAGGCCAGCCGCTTCAGCTGAGTCAGTGAGCTCAAGATTCAGTGAGACATACTATCTCAAAAAATAAGGTGAAGGGCCTGCAAGGTGATTCAGCAGAGCAAGAAAGGTGCTTTCTGTGCAAGCCTGGTGATCCGTGTTTGAGTCTCAGCAGCCACATAAGGTGGATAGAGAAAACCAGCCTAATGAGTTTGTTCCTTGACCTCTACATGGGTACTAAGGCACAACTTTCTACACTAATACATTGATAGATGATAAGGTGGAAAGTTGTTGACCTCTGGTCTTCACAGACATATGCACACACATATGAACACATAATAAGATAAAGCCATGGCACATGCTTTGGTAAAGATAAAATTCAAATAATGTCAAATAGTATAATGTTTATTTTTGTGGTTCTGTGAACCCAGTGTTTCACACATGCTAAGCAGGTGCTCTTCCCATTGAATTGTACTCTCAGCACTCCCAGACATTCTTTAATTAATTGCTATCAGTTCCTTATTTCTGGAACAACTATCCTTAGTATTTTTTACAACTCCTTCCAGAAGAGCCATATAATGCCTTAATAATGTATATTTGTCTGACATTTTTCTGTTTCTTTAATGCCAATAAGCAGAAATTGATTTTACCTTTGGAAAGTGCAAGAAGTGTGTTGTTTTGCAAGGGGTGAGATGAGAGATGGTACAGTATTGATGTTCAGGTTCTATTGACTGAACATTAGTCTCCTGTTGCTGACAGGAACTCTAAGACTGTGCTCACTGGCAGCCCCCTGCACCTGTGGAAGTCCACACTAGTATCATCCAGTAGAAATAAATATAACGTGAGCCACATATGTGATTTTAAATGTCCTAAGAGAAAGTGAAATCCATTTCAATAGTGCATTCTTTTTAGTGAATTCTACCCAGATTGTTATTTGTACAAAGTACTAGGTGTTGAATTCAGGGTCTTGTGAGTGAGCCCAGCTCACTTCTGACTTCTTATTTTGAAACAGAATCACTACATTGCCCAGCCTGACCTGCACTTAAAGTCTTCCTGAGTAGCTGGAATTATAGGCCTGTACTACCAGGCCTGACTCCCAAAATACTATTGGAGGATCTGGTCAGTATAAAATAATGAGAACATTCTCCCTTGTTCATACTAAGCTTTCAGAGCCCACTCATAGCACAACTCTGTGTGGATCATCTTGTCTCCAGTGATCCCTGAGTACACATGGTCTGGCCAACTAGCCCTGTACAGGGCTTGTTTTTTTTTTTTGTTTTGTTTTTTCTTTTTTTTGTTTTTTTTTTTTTGGTTTTGTTTTATTTTCCTGCAGGAAGAAGAAAAGGCTGGAATATGGTTTCCATTTTCTTTATTTTTTGATGTAGCATTATTTATGTGTGTATTTCTTGCTTCTGGGTTTTGGTTATGTGTTCATGAACACTTGTTTTGTCTCTGCTTTTGCTCCTTGTCTGATTGCCAGCTCTGGCCCAATGTTATCATTAACATTGCTACTCAAAGAAAAAGCCAAGCTGGGTGGCAGTGGCACACACCTTTAATCCCAGCGTCCAGAGGCAGAGACAGCAGATCTCTATGAATTGGAGGCCAGCCTGGTCTACAGAGCCAGTTCCAGAAAGCTAGGACTGTTAAACAGAGAAACCTTGTCTCAAAAAACCAAAAGTAGAAACCAGAGACTTGAGAGATGGTTCAGTAGTTGAGAGCACTAGCTTCTCTTGCATAGGACCTGGGTTTGGTTCTCAGCGCCCACATAGTAGCTCAACAGAAGACCTATTGACCGCTTCTGCCCTCTTTAGGCAGCATGCACGTGATGCCGGCAAAACACTCAATAAATCTTTTTTAAAATTAATTTTCTTTCTTTCTTACAAAATCAACAATATTAATAACCCCATTACTTCTGTATAAAGGTAATAATTTTGGTAAACTTTATGTCTTAGCCAGTAGACAGTGTGTTCTTTGGTAGTTTAAGTTTATTTATGAATATTTGATTTCTTACTTGCTGTTGGTTTTGTTTTTTGAAACAGGGTCTCTGTTTTGTAGCCCTGGCTGCCCTGAAACTCACTATGTAGATCAGGATGGCCTCACACTCACAGAGATCTACCTGCCTTTGCTGGGTTTAAAGGTGTGCACCCCCACATCCAGCTGTTTATGAATATATGAAAGACCAAATGATAAGAGGATGATAGAGGGTGTTGAACAGAGGTGTTAGTTTGTGCAGTGGTGCTCCTGAATAAGGCTGCAGCTGTATGAGAGAGAGAGAGGTGGAATAAGGGTTGCTGGGAAGTTGGCAGCAGTGGTTTCTGGCTATTTTTGGCAGTACTAGGCACTGAATTTAGGGCTTTGTACTTCTAAGGTAGGAGCTCTGCCACTGAGCTACGTTCTCAGTCAATGGCAATGGTTTTAAGAGTACTTTTTTCTTCCTCAGGAGTTGCAGATGGTGTTGGAGGATGGAGAGACTATGGTGTGGACCCATCTCAGTTCTCAGGGACTTTAATGCGAACATGTGAGCGGTTAGTAAAAGAAGGACGCTTCATTCCTAGCAATCCTGTTGGGATTCTCACCGCGAGCTACTGTGAATTGCTGCAAAACAAAGTACCTTTGCTGGGTAAGTAGATGATTGTGCCTTCTCACAGCACCCACTAATGGCTAAACAAACAAGATTTTACCAATAATCCAGGTTGGCCTCTAACTCAAAGAGCTTTGCTACCACTGCTTCCCCAGTGCTGGGATTAAAGGTGTACACCACCATGCCTGGCATTCTTAGTTGCCAGAACCTTTCTGGTTACCAGAGGCCTCCCTTGCTCACACCTACATTTAAAGAGAGTAGTGGTGTAAGCTGTCCCATGCCTTGGGTTTGAACCCTTTTCACAGAGGTTCTTTTCCCTCTTCAATTTTCTGTAAACAGTTTTGTCTTCCTCCTGCTGTAAATTCTCTTGAATTCAGCATTGGTGCTGCTTTTCTAACTTCCTCTTAAAGTTTTTATTTTATTAGTAGAAGTATGTGTGGTGGGGTCAGAAAGCTACCCAAGGGAGTCCATCTTTTCCTTCCTCCATGTGGATCAAACTCAGGTGATCAGCCTTGGCAGCAGATACTTTACCTGCCGAGCCATCTCAGCAGTCCCTCGCCCCCTTTTTATCACTACATTTTATTTATTTATTTAGTTAGTTAGTTAGTTAGTTAGTGTGTGGGGTCATGTGTTCCACAGCGCATGTGTGGAGGTCAGAGGATAACCTGGAGTAGCTTCTCGCTCCAGCATTCAGGTCCTGGAGCTGGGGTGCAGGTTGACCGGGCCTTTACTGGGCTGGCCCCCTGCTCCTCTTGATGTGCTCAGAGGCTATTCTTGGGTCAATGGGACATTCTAGATTCCATCCTAGTACCTCTGTCAGAGCTGTAGGGCTGTGGAGAAAACATTTAACCTGTGATTGGAAAGAGTCACCTAGGCAGTTTCCAGCATGTCCCTGGGAGTGGACATCATCCATCTCCCCAGCCCTGCTATTTACTTGGACATAGGGCAGCCAGTTACAGCACAGAATGTTCTTTTTCGTTGCCTAAAAGGTTTGAGTTTGCGAGGGGGGTTAATTTATTTTTCTTGTACATTTTATTTCCTTCTCACCCTATGTAACTTGGAGATAGTAATAAATAAATTTAAGGACATGTTTGAGGTTTATTTATAGTATTGGGATTACTATTTCTTCTAAAATCCACTGGAATAATCCTTTGTTGCCATGTTTGTGTATGCATACCTCCCTGTCCTAACCCACACACCTCCATGGCATTTGCAACTAAACTGGAACAGATCTGGCTGACTGCTGAATTGACTGAACCTTGGTTAAGTGCAGTCGTAGACTTGCTTTGATTTTTAAGTTATTTTGTTGCTTTTATGTGTGTATCTCTGTGAATGTGTCCTGTGTTGGTCCTTGTGGAGGCCAGGTGTTGTAAGCCACTCTATGGGTTCTGGGGATGGAATTTAGGCTCTCTGGAAGAACTGGGTGCTCTTAACTACTGAGCCATCTACCCAGCTTGCCTTTTTGCTTTCTTATCCAGCAATTGTTAAAAAATGTACAAAGTAAATCTACTCTAAAGGACAAGCCTTTATTGTTGATGTAATGGTCCTCAGAAACCCTTAAATACAACAGTAAGTTCTTAAGAATCTGAAGGGTTGCTGCCCATGGCAGCTCATGCCTTTTATTCTAGCACTTGGGTGGTAGAAATAGATGGATCTCTGAGTTTGAGAGCAGCCAGGACAAGTTTCAGGCCAGCCAGGATTATACTGTGAGTCCTAGTTTAAAAAAAAAAAAATTGGGAGGGGCTCTAACACAGTGATAGAGCATAGGTCTAGCATGCACAAAGCTATTTAGTCCCCAGCACCACAAAAGAAATGAAGCTAAGTGGTCAGACCTAGTAAGATTATATTATAGTTGGCTGAGAGATTTAACCTGAGAGAGTTGTCCAGGTACCTGCTGATGTGGGTCAGTCTCCTGAACATCCTACTCTTCATCTTCAACACCTGCTCTCCCACATGGGAGCTGAGCCCTGTGCTCTTGGCAGTCACTTGAAGAGGGGAGGAACAGAAGCTGCCAGGTTGCACATGCCGTTAGTCATTGTTCCTGCTCTGGCTGTGAAAGCCCCATCACTCAGAAGGGCCATGCTGATTCCATAGGGGCATGAAATAAATGGTGGCCTGAGGTTTTCACAGTGAGTCATTAGGGGTGTTTCCCGAGGAACAGCTCCAGGGCTGTGTTGTTTCTCACTCTCAAGATTTAATTCTGTCAGCGTCCAGAAGATCTTTTGTGTGGCCATGTTGTAATGATGAGTAGTTGGAGGCTTTTAGGAAGGAAGCTGGCTATACTAAAGGCCACGGAGCAGGTTCTGACAACCCTTCAGCTGGTTGCAGCACCCACATTTTCTTTCTCGTAGGCACTGCAGGGCTGTTAAGGTCACTATTAATCAGTCTGCTTCAGATAACAAGGAAGCTGAATTGCTGACCATCAATGATGAAAGAGTCCATATTAATTCTTTACATTAAATTACACTTTTTTGTTTGTTTGTTTTTGTTTTTGGAGACAGGGTTTCTCTGTAGCTTTGGAGCCTGTCCTGGAACTAGCTCTTATAGACCATGCTGACCTCAAACTCACAGAGATCCACCTGCCTCTGCCTTCCAAGTGCTGGGATTAAAGGCGTGCTCGTTCTATCACCGCCCAGTGAAATTACACATTTTAATTGAGACAAAATAAAAATAGCCAGAATCCCACCAAGAAAACTGAATACTAGTCTCCATGTTTCTATTTTCCCCTCATGTGTCTGTGCACAGGATAGTAGCACGCCATTTTGAGTGTGCTCTGTTTTCACACCTGGTGAGGCAGGCACATAGGAATTCTCTCCACATCTGGCTGAGAAGAAACTCAGACTGAGTGGCTTTGTTTATTTTTTCCCCTAAAAAGATAGGGTCTTACGCAGCCCAGGCTAGCCTCAGACTCAGTATGTGGCTGAGGATGACATTTTCTGAACTTCATGCCTTTACCTCCCAAGTGAGTGTTGGGACTAAGTTGTGTGCCCCATATCTGGTTTGTATGGTGCTATTGACTAAACCCAGAACTTGGTGCATGCTCAGAGAATGCTAGACCAGCTGCTGAGCTACTTCTCAAGCAATACTGTTTTTTTAATTGAATTTATTTACTTATGTGTATGTGTGTGTGAATAGGAGTTCCAGATGGTCATGAGCTACCATGTGAGTGCTGGGAATTGAACCTGGGTCCTCTGAAAGAGAAGCCAGTGCTCTTAACCACTGAACATCTCTCCAATCCCCAAATACTAGCTTTTAATCTTACTTCATTTATCTTCCCTTTTCAAGTGTATTCTTTAATACTTTCCTAATGGCTGTCATTAAATAGCCACACTTTTAGGGTTTGCCATGATTTAACTGGTTTTACCTCATGGATTTCTCTGTGAGAGGTATACTACTCTTGGTCCTGTTTCTGTGAACAAGGAAGCTGGATCACAGAGCTTGAAAGTGGCAGAGCTGGGGTTCAAATGCAGATAGACTGACCACTGTTCGTACCACTGAGTGTTTGTGACAGTCCTTACCTATTTCTGTGGCGGAGACAGAGTGCAGGGCTGTGCTTGTGCTAGCTGCACCTCTGCCACTAAGCTGCCTGCCTGCCCTAGTGGCACAGGAGAGACATACGGCTCGCTCCTGGTTCTCTGGCTCTTGAGCAGTGTTTTTTTTCTTTCAGTCTTGCATTTTTTATTGTTTTCTTACACGAGTCTTTTCAGGTAGACAATATGTAAGTTTTCAGAGCTGTGACTCCTAGATTCATTTTACTCAGTGCCTCCCCAGAGTAAGGGTAAGTGGGTTTCCAGCACTCTGGCCAGCCCTGCGCTAGCTTCTTATGGTTCTTGTTGATAACCTGAGAGAACCAACTGTCGGTGTTTTTCCATATACACAGGCATGTTCCATTTGTTCTTTGGTGTGCTGCATATTCTTCTGGTGGAAACAGGTGCAGTTTTTGCTGCAGTCAGTCTGGCCAGAGACTGTGGGCCTTGTGCAGTCTCTGGAAAATGAGCAGGTTGGTCTGCAAGCCACTTGTGTCCTCACTGTGAGTCATCAGTCTCCAGAAAATGCTTTATGGCTTCAGCAGACGGCAGTCTGGTTTAGAAGACTGGTTATGTTTATGGTTAAATGTTAGTAAGTTTAGTGAAGTCTTGCTCCCCTGACTAAATAAAGAATAGTGTTGGGTGCGGTACCCTTGTTCCAATAATTAAGTATTAAAACACAGTAATCTGTTTTGGATGGAGCTTTTGAAGGTGGAAGGAAGGAAGGAGGAAGAGTGTGTGGCTCAGTGGCCCACTTTGCCACACCCATTGTCCTCAGCACATCAGCCCTGCTTAGGCTATTGCCGTAGTTCTTGGGCGTGGGGCAAAAGAGGGTGGTCTTATGTAAACAAGCTGCTCCCTGGACTTGAGCGATGATTGGCAGCAGCCCAGGGGAGACGGTGAGCGGATGCCCATTTTGTTTGTAGGTAGCAGCACAGCCTGCATTGTGGTACTGGACAGAAGTAGCCACCGCTTGCACACAGCGAACCTGGGTGACTCGGGCTTCCTCGTGGTCCGGGGCGGCGAAGTCGTGCACCGATCTGATGAACAGCAGCATTACTTCAACACTCCATTCCAGCTCTCCATCGCTCCCCCTGAGGCTGAAGGGGTTGTCCTGAGTGACAGGTAATCTTGCAGCCCTTCCCTGGAGCAAGATGTAGCTTCCCCACAGTCCCCTCTGTCCTCTTGAGGATAGGCACTTTTCCTGTGAGAAATCGCCCGTTCACAGGACCAGCTAGTGGAGCCTTTGCAACTTTGGGTTAGAGTAAACTGACTTTCACAGCTGAGCCAAGTTGTTCTAAACATATCATCACATGAAAGGGTTGTACAGAGGCATTCAGCTTTGTGTCTGTTGTATTTTCATGCCAGCAGCACACTGAGTGCAGGATGTGTTAACTGCACTAGGAGTTGAGTTGCTCAGAGGCCTCCTCTGCCTGTGCAGATTTTCATACATTGCTGGGGAGCACAGGCGGGTCTTATCTGTCAGAAAAACTTCTCCTCTCAAAGGTGCTCTTCATACACACACCCAACAGAAGTGAAGTGTCCAGGCCTGATTCTGTCCGTAATGGGGTCACTAGGTGTTCTCTTTCTTGCTGATTGCTAATGACTCTTAGTTTATTTTTATACTTCCAGGAACTTTCAAAATGACTGGAACTCTTTAAAATTAAGTTTTAGTTGCTCTTTTTGTAGAATAGAGTAAGGCTAAGACTTGGCCACCTTATGGGCTACAGGATGCTCACCAGTAACTCCCAGTGGTTTTTTTGTGAAGAAACTCCTAGCAAATGCTTTTTTCCTTTTCTACCTATTATCTCTTAGTGAGCCAGATCTTAAAGCCCAGCTAAAATGAAACAGGCATTTCTGCCATCTTTGATTTTGGACTGAGGTGTCATATTATTAGTATTTGGTGTTGTCTATTTAAATAGTCTGCTTGCTGGGTAGACTTGCACTTGTAATCCTGGCATTCAGGAGGGTAAAGCAGGAGGATTACCAGTTTGACGCCAGCCTGGGCTATATATAGCAAGACTCTGCCTTAAAACATGCAAGTATTGGCTGGGTGGTGGTGGCACACACCTTTAATCCCAGCACTTGGGAGGCAAAGGTAGGTGGATCTCTGTGAATTTGAGGCTACTTCCAGAACAGGGCACAAAGCTACATGAAACCCTGTCTCAAAAACAAAAACATGCAAGTGTCGATGCTGACTCTGGAGAAGGAAGTATTTTGAGCTTTCAGATCAGGCTGGTTGCCTGAGTTAGAAGAGCATCTGAGAAGACATTTTATTGTATTTTTAAAATATATTCATTTTGTGAGTTTGGAGGTGGTGTATGTGTCATGGCACAGGTGTGTAGGTTAGTTCTCTCCTTCCAGCATGTGGGGTCCTGGGATCAATCTTGGATGTCAGTTTGGCAGCAGGTGCCATCCCTGAGCCATCTTGCTGAATCAGCTCTCTTGTGTTAACAAATGGACTGTAATGCATAATAGCTAGAGCCATTTGGAGTGAAAGCCTCAGTGGATACCAAGCTCAACTGACAGCTTCCGGATTGTGGTACTTTATTTTCCGGATTGGCTGCTGCCTGTTTTGGCATCTATGAGTACCAGATCCGCAAGCAAGATTTGGGACAGGACGGCTAGAGGCACTTTGCTGGCCTGATGTGAGGTGGAGGTGGCTGCCCGTGGAGCCCAGCTCGCCAGCATGTGACTGTGACTCGTGTTTCAGTGCAGTTGAGAGTTTCCAGCAGCACAGTGTGTTCAGTCAGAATGGGCAGAGCTGCAGCTGGCAGAACACCAAGCTCGTGGGTGGGAGTGTTAGCAGAGCACGGACTGTCCAATGAGAGCGAGGCTCTCACAGGCAGAATGGCAAAGGCCACTCGTGGGGAAAGAAAAACCTCAGCATAAAACAGAGCCCCCGTGCCAACCTGGTCATTAATCTGCACTTCTAGAACCTGACACGCTTGCAAAGACAGCAGGCCGGAGTCTTGTGTGTTTGTCTTGATTTTTCCAGAAGGAACTAACCCAGTTTCCACCAATATGATGGTGGCTTTCTCTTCTGCTGTATGTCCTCAGTTGCCACTCTTATCTATAAATGTGTGCTGCTGCCTCCTTCCCTTGGCCATGCGAAGCTGAGCCAGGAGTTTGCTCAGGGCACAGTGCAGATCCTTAGAAATGACAGGACTGATTTTGTGTTTCTCTCTTACCACTTAGCCAAATGTGGGGTACCTGGCTGCTTTGGCTTTGGCCTTGTCGGTTAGTGTCTAAGGTCTTCCTTCTCTTTTCACCGCAAGTTTAAGCAGACAATTAGATGCCTCTGCTTGCCTTTTCAGCCTGGGAAGCAGTGAAGGTGGCCTCAGGAATGACTGAGAGCCAGCCTTATGGGGCTGTGAACTCCTTCCTGCATCTCCCCCGTTGTTAGATCTGTTTCCTTCAGGCTTTGTTAGAAAAAACAAAACAAAACAAAAAAAACCTCCCATCTCTTCCTTTAAAAGTTGTACCCAGTGGCACACACCTGTCATCCCAGCACCCAGGAGGGTGAGGCAGGAGAATTATGAGTTGAAGGCCAACCTGGGCTGCATGTTGAGACGTTCTCTCCAAAACAAAACAAACAAAGTTACTCAAAAAACAAGCAGTCAGGGCTGGTGAGATGGCTCAGAGGATAAGAGCACTGGCTGCTCTTCGAGAGGTCCTGAGTTCAATTCCCAGCAACCACATGGTGACTCACAACCATCTGTAATGAGGTCTGATGCCCTCTTCTGGCCCACAGGGATACATGCAGGCAGAATATTGTATATATAATAAATAAATAAATCTTTTTTTAAAAAAAACAAGCAGTCAGAGACTGGAGAGATGGATCAGTGGTTAAGAACACTGACTGCTCTTCAGAGGACCTGGGTTCAATTCCCAGCAACCACATGACAGTTTCCAACTGTCTGAAACTCCAGTTCCAGGGGATCTGGTTCCCCCATACAGACATGCCTGCAGGCAAAACACCAATGTATCTAAAATAAGATAAATTATTAAAAAAAAAAAAAAGCCATCTCCCTCTGCCCCTGCTGCAGCTTCACATCATTTGGCAGGCTCTGAGGTTAGGTTCTCTCTAGATTGGTGCTCTGAGCTTAGATGATTCCACACATGTCTTTTCCCTTCTCACAAAAGGAGCTGTATCTACCACATATTCCTGCCTTTGCTGTTTAACAACATATTAAAGGTTTCCTCTCAATTGAGAGGGTTATTCTATTTTTGCAGTGAGTCACTTAACATGTTTCCTGAAGCCCACATGCCAGGCATACTCAAACAGTCCTTAACTGTGCCAAAGCCTCTCTAGGTGTCCCCGAGTAGTCATTCCTCCAGGGGGCTCCTGTTCTCCATGGGGACCCAGCCTCCTGAGAACCAGGGGGTACAATGGTGAGGAGGAAAGCCTTGCTCTGAGGCTGCAGGCTGGAAAGGAGAAGTCAGATCAGGCTCCCTCTTGAGCCTGTGACACGACTGGTCTGACTGCCCAGACTCAGCTTTACTGATGGCTTGAAGCCTCGAGACATTGAAATGGACTTTCAGCTCATTTTTCTTACTATGACTATGTTGTAGGATGGGGTCATGCCATGGCATGAGTGTGGAGGTCACAGGACACCTGAAGGAGTAGGTTCTGTTGCTTTGATATGTAGGTCCTTTGGATGGAGAACTAATCAATAGGCTTGATGGTGGTCACCCTTACCTGCTGAGCCATCTCACTGGCCCAACTTTGTTTTAGTGGGTGCCATTTTAAAAGCCTCATTACATTGTAAAATTCTGGTAGTAGGACCATGGACCCATGTCTACAGGGCTACCTTCACCTTGCTCTCCCTCTTCTGTCCTTGCCACAGCCCGGACGCTGCTGATAGCACGTCTTTTGACGTCCAGTTAGGAGATATCATCCTGACGGCAACAGATGGGCTCTTTGACAACATGCCTGATTATATGATCCTTCAGGAGCTGAAGAAACTGAAGGTAATGAACTTGGAGCCTGATGTGTGTGTAGATCCTGGGAGCTGTGGTCTCTACACTGCCAAGTTTTTATTGAGTTCCTTGAATTGTCTCTTGGTTTGGAAAGGACGATTTTTTTGAATAGTCCTTCAGGGAAATAATGGATGTAATATTCCAGGCAATTATAAACGAGAACATTCGGAAGAGAACTGGAGGAAAACCCCTAAACCCCTGCTGCATAGGGGGGCTCAGGCAGAATGGGAGGGTGTCCTCACTAGCATTTTTCTTGGTGTTTTATGCATTTGCTTGTCCTTCTCTCTTTTTATTCTTTTGTTTGTTTGTTTTTTGAGACAGGATTTCTCTGTGTATCTCTGGCTGTCCTGGAACTTGCTTTATAGACCAGGCTGGCCTGGAATTCACAGAGATCCTCCTGCCTCTGCTTCTGTGAGTGCTGGGTTTAAAGGTGTGCACCACCACTGCCCAGCTCTCCTTTTATTTTTACCATATACCAGAAACTGCTGAGGCTGGAAGGTTAGGAAGCAGTTAACCAGAAGGCAGTCCAGGAGGCAGGGGCCTAGGTGTGACCCGAGCTGCAGCTGAGGGAAATTTGGCATCTTCCACAGAAAGTGGGGATGCCAGAGGCTAGGCTCCCAGAGACTCTTGGGCTAGTACAAGTACTGACTGACAGACCTAGCCCTTCTAAGGCAGTCCCTCACCATTCTGGCTTGGGGTGTCTCTTCTACTGCCCAAGCAGTAAGTAGTTCCCTTGCCTGTAAAATGGGAAATAGGAAAGATCTTGTCCTTCAGGGTGACAGGGAAGAGTCACCAAAACCACAAGAAGAGTCCTAATGCTGTGCCTGACCTGGTGAGTAGAAAGTATGCAGTCCCTGCCCCCATCCCCCTCTCCACCTCTGCCCCAGGTTTACAGTCTAGAGGTGAGCCTCTGGGATAAAGGAATATATGATCGGGAGCCTCTGTAAGGTGGTATGGAAGCATGGACCTGTTTGGTTTTCATTTTAGTTCCTCTATACAATTATTGTTTTTATCTTATGTGTATGACTGTTTGCCTGATACCTGGGGAGGCAAGAAGAGAGTGCTGGGCTCACTAGAACTGAGTGGTCATTTGGGTACTAGAAATTAAGCCTTGGTCCCCTGCAAGAGCAGCCAGTGCTCGGAACCTCTGGAGCCATATCTCCAGCTGCCCTGGCCCTCTGGTGGTAGATATTTAGACGGAAAGATTCAGAACCTTTGAAGTCGGGTCTGAGTGGGGTCCTTGCCCTCCTGTGTCCATTTTGTAGGTGAATGGAAGCAGCTAGAATAGGGCATGGCCAAAGAACACACAGCAAAGCAAGCCTCTTTGTGGTGATGCAAAGCCTGAAAGGCATTCCCAGCACAGCCCACACCAAGCTGCCCTTTCTTGGAAAGCAAATATAGCTGGCTAAGGTGTGTTACCAAACATGGGGACTTCTGCAGCATCCTGAAAATGTGGCCAGAACCCACCTTTTTAGATCATCCTATTTTAGTAAGAATACCTAAAAATTTTTTAATGGAAAACCAAAAATGAAAATCTAAATTGAAGATCTGGAACCATTTCAACAAAGGGCTTTCTTATGGATCAGGACCATAATGGACTTGTTCCTGGTTCTCTCCATGTCTTCTCTAACTAGAATAAAACTTCAGCACAAGGGGGGAAATGTTCAGGTAGATGTTCTGCTTTACAGTGCTGTCTGCACGAAGTGTTCTCCTGCAGAACTCACACGAGGCATTGTGGTAAAAATAACTCTGTCCTTTCGTTTTAGAATTCAAATTACGAGAGTATACAGCGGACTGCAAGAAGCATTGCTGAGCAGGCACATGAGCTGGCCTATGACCCAAATTATATGTCACCTTTTGCACAGTTTGCATGTGACAATGGATTGAATGTGAGAGGTAAGCATTCCTTGGAAGGTTCTGAGCTCCAGGTGAGAGTGTTTAAGTATCCTTCCTCTCACAGCAGGATCAGGAGGGTAGCAGCCAATGTGTAGCTCGCTTCTCCTCTGAGGTGCCCTTCAGAACTGACCTTGACTGAATGAGAGACATATAGAACCTGAAGCCTTTACTCTACCACTGATCTGATCACCCCGGGCCATATTCCCAGAAGCTTAATGTTCTGCCCCTCAAGTGCCTGATCCAAACTACCGTAACAGCAACCTGCAAAGGGAAGTTATATGACATTGCCCTCAACTCTGATGTTTTCCAATCCACTTCATGATGTGACTGGGGAATTAAGCCAACCTCAGCTGATTCTGATGATGTTGGCATCAGAAGTGTGGGGCTGCCCAGCTGTTGCTAGTGTAATATTATTATGACATGCAGAGTACATCTGAGCTCAGGAAATGTTAGGATAGAGAAAAGCGCATGCCATAGCTGCTTGGCACGTTAGAACACAGGTTATTCCTAGTTTCCACACAGTGGGCATGGTTGTCCAGATTAGGATAGTGCTCCTGTGAGTTCTAGCTGGAGCTACCCTACAGACCGTCACTGCAGCCGATGCGGGGTGTGGCCATCTGCACAGCCATCATGGGGAAGCAGCAGGTGGGTTTGAGGCTGTGGTTTTAAGCGTCAGTTAAGTCACTTTTTTGAGTTAGTTTCTTTGAAACAAGATCTTAGATAGCTCAAACTGGCCTCAAATAAGTGATGATCCACCTGCCTCAACCTACCAAGTTCTGAAATTATAGGTATGCAGAACCATGCCCTGACTTCTTGGTGGTGTTTAACTACCTTATTTGTTTTTATTTTAGCGTTGGGGGATGGTTTCCTGTAACATAGTCTGGGCTTGAACTCTCTGTAGGTGAAAACGACCTTGAACTCCCAATCTCCCAAACCCAGAGCTTACAGCTTTTAACTGTTTCTCCACTCTCATGCACTTACAAACCAGATCCACTGAAAGATGAGCACTTGTGTCTACAGTACTACCTGAGCCACAACTTTGGTTGACTTCCTACACATATACTGATAAGTTCCATTTGTGTTTTAGGTGGAAAACCAGATGATATCACTGTCCTCCTCTCAATAGTGGCTGAGTACACGGACTGATTGGCCACGTTGGCAACTCCTGCCTTTCCCTTGTCGCCCCATTTTTCCCTGCCATGTGTGCTGATCCTGCTGGCAGGACCACATTTCTTTGCCACTGATCTCAGTGGCCAATGCCGGATGCCTGGCCCTTGTTTGAGACCCATTGAGAGTCTTGTTGAGAACCACTATTGTCATCCACTAGCCCGGAACCTGCTGGTGACCACCAAGAGAAACTAGGTGACTGCTCCCTTCTCCCGGAGATTTTCAAAGCCTTTTACCTTTCAAAAGCAGTTGAAGTTTTGAAAATAAGTAATGTTGGTAAAGTGAATTCAGAATTTCAGTGTGTTAAAGGGATGCTAACATCCAACAGACAGTAAATAATGACGTCATACTGGAAAACACACAACCCTCCCAGGAGGAGCTCGTGACCACGGGCGCAGTCTGCTGGACCTGCCATGGCTTTGTGTTTTCTGTATAAACTCCTGTTTCCCAGGAGTTCACATCCTGCTCCAAACCTGTGCTGGGTTCTGACATCTCAACCCTAGCAGCTTACAGTTTTGGTGACAAATTGGAAGAAAATTTTCATTCTTTGGATGCAGATATTTTGTGCTTTTTAAAAAAATGCTTAATTGTGCTCCTGTGATTGAAGCTATGGCAGTTATTGGTTTTTCAGGTCACAGGCTCGAGGCCTGGCCCAAGGAGGGACGGAGGAAGGAGACTACCAAAATCTATTCCCAGAAATGTAACGCAAAATTGCAAATCTCCTCAAAGCCTGAGAATCAAACGCTGCAGCCGAAGTCTTCTGTGCTGCCTGTGAGAATGCCACAGGCCTTCCCGGCCAGGCAAAAGTATGCAGTTGCAGCTTGGCATGGGGTTGACTGTGGACAGCCTCGCTCCTTCCGTCCCTCAGGAGCCTCACACCTTTAGAGCATGCCCCAACTGTGCTGTGTCCTCAAGGTGACAGCGTGGTGGCTGCAGCACATGGAATCCACAGGAAAGCTAGTGATGACCTGACGTTCGCAGTGACCCCAGCTGAGTATGGGGTTCTGAGTCCAGCTTAATGTTTACAGTTCCAATAGCCATTTGCAGTAGGTGACGTTCCTTCTCAGACTTCCCCATTACCCGCGAGCGCAAACTTACTTTTAAGGTTTATGTACAATTGACTGCTGTAAAGATATATTTTTGGGTCCGTTCTTTTCCTTCTTTAACTTGGTGGTAGAAAACCATATATACTTAGAAGCCCTTAAATTAAAGCCGTGTTTTCTGTGTAAGTCAGGTGATGTTGGTGTGAAGAGCACGTGAGCAGCCGCACAGCCCTTCCTCTGCAGGAGACACTGGCTCCCTGGTTACTGCATTGAACTTGTGTTTGAGGTTACCTCAACTTGTTTTTAAAAGATTTTGTCTGTGAGTTTGTATATTTGAGTAGCTGTCTCTTGTTTTATTTAAATTGTTTACCATGTACCATGTACATGTCATTGCTGTATCTCAGTGCATCATGCTTGTAACAGGCATTTCGTTTATAAGAATGAGTTACTCATTTGTAAGCTGTTCAGTAATTTATCTACTATTCCTAAATTGGCATAATGTTAGATTCCTATTTTGAATCACCTTTAATTACATGTCAGAATGCCTTAACTACCCTAACCTGACAACACTGAGTTCTTTGGTGAGGAGATACAGGGGCCGGGTATGGAGGGAGACTGAGATAAAGAGATGCCATGCTCTGTTGATGACGGAGCATGAGGGGCACTGGTGAGTATTTATTTTGCACAAACTCTTGGCAGTGTCTGTGTTTAGAACAGTAAAGTTGTATCCAGACGGGGTGTGTGGCCCTAGGACTGACTACTTCAACTCTTTTCTGTGGTTTATAATTAGTTTCTGGTCAGATGTATTGTAGCCTTACAATCTGGATATATTTTTGCATTAATTTTCCAATGCCAACATTTAATTCCTGCTAGGAGCAGAGCTGGTCAAGTCACTGGCATTTTTCTGCTCTTACTTAGCCCATCAAGCAGTCTTTTCTAAAGGTAGATTGGTGTATTTTCTACAGCTTACTTAGTCAACTCACTTTCTGAGTAGTGGTTGTTAGAAACGGACAGTGTGGCTGCTGTAGTGCACTGGGCACCATGGGCAGCATTGAGATTCAGACTGAAAATTACTCTGGGCCTGGCGCATGGACTAGTGACATTACATATTCCATTTGCTTCGCCCCTGTCCTTTTTCTTACACACTTAATGTTATGGCTGTCGGACGCCAGGTGGAGGAGTGCTCCCTCGCACTCCCCATTGGCCAGGGGCTCTGCCACACACCCCTCACCAGGTCCTCTTTGGAACCTGGTGTGTGCGTGCATTGTATTTTAAATCAAGCAATGTAAGCACTCATATTTGTCTCACGGAATGAACTTTTATAACAAAAGAGAAATTTGGGTTTTAATTTACAAATGGCAAATTATTTATCCCTCTCTGGATGCACCAAAGACCAGTAAAGTTTATAGCTTTTCCATCTATATTTATAAAGCAATACTGTATTATAAAAAATCACTATTTTTATCACATGCTTGAAATTTTTATTTTGTTCTGTTTTAAAAATGTGCACTCTAAACATATCAGAACCTTATTTCTTCCTATGAACTTAAGCTGCCTGCGCACAAGAAATAAATAAGATTACCAAATGGAGGTGAAATAGCTAGAGTCCCTAGGCTCTTAAAAATTGAAAGAAATGAGGGCGAGAACAAGTTATTTGTCCTGAGTTACTGTATGAGCTTGACTGGGTTGGTAGGTTACTAACTCACAGAGAATCCATTCCAAGTGTGCGTTTCTGGGTTGGGCTGTGTCTGGAGTAGAGACTGAGTATGAGCTTTCTGAGGCAGGAGAGTGCCCTTTTCTGCTGCTGTCCTTGTTTTGAATAGAGGAGGCAGCGAGACCTCACAGGGCTGCCCTCCTGGTGAGTGTTGTGGAGGTGGCCAGCAGGATTGGGTAGGGCTGTCTGTACATGTTTATACTTTTGGGTAGGTTCATGGCTCCTTGTCACTGTCCACCAGCTATCTTCGGCAAAGTTAGAACAGTTTCTCTCTGGAGACTGTCACAGTTTTGTGTTAAAAAAAAAAAATTGTGATACTAAGAAAAAAAAACCTGCTTATAAAACAAAATATGAAACAGAAGACATTTGGATTCTATTTCTTTCAAAAAGTAAATTTATCACAAAATTGAATTTCTCAACTAAAGCAGTGTCCATGTCAAATGTAACTGTTAGCAGGTAGTTTGTGGCAAAGGCGACTAAGTGATGAAGCAAATCTGAATCCTTGTATACTAATAAGCTGTGTTTTCTGTTGAGACTATCATTGTTTGTCCTACAAAAGGCAATGACCTGAATCGATGTCTGAAATATAACTTATGCAGGAATAGTTCTGTAAATACATTTAAATAAACTGTAAAGATATTTAATAAATATAGTATTTATACTAACTGCCACTCCTTTGGTTTGAATGGTCAGGGAATAAGACGCCAGTCCGCGGCATTGTCGTCGTCTCTGTCTCGCTCTCAACCCCAAGCCTTTTGGTCTACCTAACAGTGAGCCAGCACTTCAGAGCTGTGTCTTTTGTGCTTTACCATTTGAGCAGGTGTGGTTGTTAATCAACAGTTACTTATCTTCCCCAAAAATTTACCAAAATGAACTGGCAATTGAGTGTAAATTAGAAGCTTTTTTCAGCTGTGGCATTGTGCCTTCCAAACAGTACTGAGTGAAGCTACCAAAGCATGCTGCTGTGAGGGCCGGGGGTTGGTGGCAGAGCACTGACCTCCTGCGTGCAAGGCGTGGATTCTATCCCAGAACCACACAACACGGGGACACACACACACACGCCTTGATGGTGCCCTGCTAGTATCTCAGAGCCCTAAGTGCTTCGAGTGTGACACGTGTGACAGTGTCACTGTCTTGTACAGACCAGTGCTGCACTCAGGCTATGCTGACCAAGGTGCTTTGGATGAACCCAGGCCTCGTTCAGCAGGGAGACTACAGAGTTGCTCTGCAGCCACCTGCGTCAGATAGGAATGTCATCAGGGTAAACATGAGATTCATAAACCCTCAGCCTACAACAGAGAGGACAGAACTGTGATAGGTGGGCATTGCCAGTTTCCACAAAAAGCTTAGTGAAAGCCCATTTTCATTCACAGAGGAACATTTTGGGATAACGTTGGGTTTTTATTAGGTTACTGTGGGCAGCTGTGACTCATTGCTAAGCTACAAGAGCCAAATCACTCTGGTTTCAGCTAGAATCTGCTCACACTTTTAAAGCACGCTAATCCACTTAGGCGGCACTTCCAGTTTCTCAGAGTCTAAAGTACAGTGGCCTGCTGGTTGATGTTTCCTTATGGTTTGATGGTTTTCCCAGGATTTAGCAGTATTACCAAAAACTCCTTTGTGGGCTTGTAATTAACCTAACAGGTTTGGGGAAAGAGAGTCAGACACTGTAAGATGTTGTATAACATTGTGTTTGTGCAGGTACAGAGCCTGATTACCTGAGAGGAGCAATGGACAGGCATTTGTTTCCCAGTTCCCTCACTCCACTGCAGCCTGAGCTCAGGCTGCTGCATGTGGTGATGACTCAGACTTGGCTTCACTACATGCTTTCTGTATCCCACTGCATACTGTGCAGGAACCAAAGCAAATGGAGGTTGGGAAATGAAATTGTGTAATATATAAAATGACCGCAAAGTGAAAGGCTAACTGTATATATCTTTATTCACAACTTTTTTTAGTCTGAAAAAAAAAAAAAGAACAATGAACAGAAACTGCCAGGTCATCGCATAAGAAGGGACTACATGACTGTTGTCTGCAGGCACATACAGAAGAGTCGTAGGGGCTCCTGAGAGCCCCACACCCACCCCAATGCTGAGGAAAGCCCTTTAGGAACCAGCAGAGGACATGTCAAGGCTGCAGGATAAACAGTGGTGTCTCAGAACCCTGATATGTTCATTCCTGTGCCGCCGGCTCTGTCCCCAAGTGGCACAATAGATTTGTAGTGCACCCTGATACTGGAAAGAGCAAAGACACCGCCTCTAAAAAAGCCAGGGCCAATTCCTGCTCCATTCTCCCTTGGCCTTCAAGGAGCCAGGGCCCAGCACCCAGTGCAGCTATCGCTGAGCTGTGGATACTCATCCACTCATGTCCTCTTCACTGTCACTTGCTATTGCTAAGCTGTCCAAGGGGTGGCTGGCGTGTTCTTGCTGCTCAGAAGAAACTGCTCCAAAGAACATGCAGGAAAACTGGAAGGAAAAAGAAAAGCGTACAGTTTATTCTGAAGACAAAGCCTGTTCACTGAAGGCTCCAGGCAAGCCTTTGAAAATGAGGTCAGGTGTTGCCACTGTCTTTGATGATGATGAATCATGGGCACCATTATCAACTGAACTCATCAAGATTGAGAGCCTCTTCTGACATCATTATCCCAAGACAGGACCTTTAGGAATGGTAGTCCACTGTGATCTTCCCTGGAGCTACAAAACTGTCCACCATGACTGAGAAAGGCAAAGGAGGGGACTAGCTGTGTCCCTCCCCTCCTGACTCCATACCTACCCTGCCCCCACCCAGGCCCTGCTGCTCTGTTGAAAGAGCCTTAGTGTTGCTGATGCTTAGATGGCTTGATCTCTTCTCTGTCACAGACCTGTTTGTACTTAAGGACTCTCCTCATGCTCCTTCCCACCCTGTCTTAAGTTTTGGACCTCAGCACCTCCCAGAAATGAGCCCCATGCTTGAAGCAGCCACCATAGCAAAAACCATAAGAGACAAGCTGGAGAGAAGGTGCCTTCTGCAGGGGTGACAGCAGCAGCTTCTGACCTCATTCTAGTTAGCCCCAGCTTAGCTGTGGTGAGCAGAATAGCCCTACCATGGACTAAACCCTAGAACCCCAGCACACAGGTAGGTACTGATGAAATCAGGCTGCACAGCTGGTATTAGCAGCCAGGTGGGCTAAAATCTTGACTGCCTGGCTTGGGAAATGGAAAGGGATGACAAGCCTAAGAATGGATGAAGGTGTCAGACTCTGGCCATGGCAGAAAGCTCCTGAAAGGAAAAGACTAAGTGACAACCTGATGCTTAGCCCTGTGAAAACCATTTCACACCATGGCCTTTGGAACTAGAGTGCATCTGTGCTGTTTCTGCAGTGAAATCTGTGATCACCTGTTCAAGAGCAGCAATTGCTTTGAGCTCAACTGGAAGCAATCTCTATTGATTGACCAAGGTCCTAAGACTAGAGGTGACCCAAGAAGCCTCTTCTGTTGTGTGTTTGGCCCATGCAGTAGCTCTCAGTAATGTTCACTCTACCCTCCGAGGCTGCAAAATTCTTATCTTGGTGTTTGAGTATTGCCTGACATTGCTTCAGGCTTGAGCTGAGTGCTGTCTGCCACCTGCCCTTATTCTTGATGTCTGCCTGGACTTAAAATCTTTGGCTGGTTGCCAGGGAGTAGTGCGCACCTTTAATCCCAGCACTCAAGAGGCAGAGGCAGGTGGACCTCGAGTTCAAGGCCAACCTGGTCTACAGAGTAATTTCTGGGACAACGAAGAGCTACAGAGACCCTGTCTCAAAAAAAACCACAAAAAACAAAAACGATAGCCTCCCTACATCAGGCAAGAACCATGCACACACACAGGAAAGAAGGCCATCTGGGCTCAGTGGTAGAACAGTCTGCTAGTGTGCCAGAGACCTGGGTGAGACTCCTGGCCCTGGGTCACAAGTATGTGAGGCACAGAGGCATGAACAGAAACAGTACAAGGGACTGGAGAGATGGCTCAGCAGTTAGAAGAGTTTGCTTCTTTCATAGAACCTAATTTCAGTTCCCAGAACCCATGCTGGACAGTCTCACAACTCCCTGTAACTCTAGCTACTGGGTAGCCAACATCTTCTGTCCTTTATGGACACTACACACACATAAAGAAAGCAGTACTTGACCACATCTTCTGGGATAGGGAAAAAACAGGATGCCTGCCTCTGGCTGCAACTCAGGAGCACAGGGCAATCAGGCCATTTCTGTCTGATGTGACTATGCTGGGGGAACATAAGAGCAAGAAGACAACTCAGCAAAGTAGACAAAGTCAACGTACAGAACACACAGCTGTGCACATAAATGTTTGCAGTCAGTGCACATTAATAGAAAAAACATTGCCAGGCAGTGGTGGCACATGCTTTTAATCCCAACAGTCGGGAGGCAGAGGCAGGTGGGTCTCTGAGTTTGAGGCCAGCCTGGTTCCAGAGTTCCAGTGAGTTCCAGAGGCTCCAAGGCTACAGAGAAATCCTGCCTTGAAAAAGAAAAAAAAAAAAAAAAAAGAAGGCAACAGTCATGTAACCCAAGCTGGCCTCAGAGCAGTATGTGCACCACCACATGTACTGCTGATCAAACACACAACCCAGGGCATCCTAAGCAAGCACTCTATCAACTGAGCTATTACCCACTCCCCCCTTTTTACCCTTTATTTAGAGACAGAATCCCTGGAACTCATGATCTTCCTGCCTCACCCTCACAAGTGTGGAATTACGAGCATGTGCTCCATTCCCAGCCAGGAAAACATAACGGTAGATACTCAGAACCCTATGAGAAGCTAGATGTGCTATCCACTGTCCTAGCACTCAGAAGGCTGAGGCATGAGGGTTGGGAGTTTTCATCTGGGCTACACAGTGAGACCTTGTCTTCACTACACCACCTTCCACGGGAACAAACTGAGTGTGGTGGTGCATTCCAGCCCTTGGGAAATAGAGCTAAGAGGTCCATCAACTGCAAAGGAAATTTGAGACAAATCTGGGCAACATGAGACCCTGTCTCAAGAAAAAATAAAAATAGCTTTAAATTCTGAATTCTAAAACAACCTCAAAGACACAAGTGAGCTTAAAGAGAAAAACATCACTTGGGCCAGGCGGTGCTGGCGGTGATGGCGTAGCCTGGCAGTGGTGGCACATACCTTTAATTCCAGCACTTGAGAGGCACAGGATCTCTGAGTTCGAGGCCAGCCAGCCTGGTCTACAGAGAGAGTTCCAGGATAGACTCTAAAGCTACAGAGAAACCCTGTTTCGAAAAAACAAAAAACCATCGCTTGGTTACAGGTGGATAAGTGAACAGCATAACAGCGCTTTGCTTAAGAGAAGTGTAAAATAGCTCAGATACCAACAGGTGTTTTTTATGGAGATGGGTGAGTTGTTACTAAAATTTAAATTACAAGTAAATGTTCAAAAGTACAATAAGTCTGCAAAAAGCCATTAGGCCACCAAACGAGAAGCCACTGAGGAAGTGGCAGTATGAGACAAGAGTCAACCACAGCAAGTTCAGACACTGGCACAAATATGCCAAGTTTCTAACATGGCAAGGAGACACCAGAAACCTGGGCAAAGGCAGGCTATAATTGTAAAAGTTTAAAGGAGTAGCTGCAGAGCCATTCTGGAAAGTCAAAGTTAGACCGGTAATTTACAGCGTGCATGAAG